TGGGGAGCCTCCAGGGTGTGGGGCAGCCCCAGGGTGCATGGGGAGCCTCCAGGGTGTGGGGCAGCCCCAGGGTGCATGGGGAGCCTCCAGGGTGTGGGGCAGCCCCAGGGTGCATGGGGAGCCTCCAGGGTGCGGGGCAGCCCCAGGTGTGCATGGGGAACCTCCAGGGTGCGGGGCAGCCCCAGGTGTGCATGGGGAACCTCCAGGGTGCGGGGCAGCCCTGGGGTCATGAAGCATGTGGCTGAGCAGATGCATTTTGGAGATGCGGGTCAGGTCTGGGGAGGTTACAGCCTGGGTTGTTCCCTGCGCTCGCCGGCTCTGGGGGAGTGAGCTGCACCCACAGCTGCAGATGCCTTCATCTCTGACCTGCTCTGCATTTTCTACTGGAAAGGGGCGCTCCGCTCAGCTGTGACTCTGTCTATGCCAAGCCCAGTGCTATGGTATGGGACAGAATCCTTTCTGTTAAGCACCGGGCTTCATTAGAGGCAGCAGCTGCCTGGTCCCCTTGTGCCCTTGGTACAGTGCTGCAGTGGCCGCCACAGGAGCACACACAGCAGCTCAAGCTGAGTGCCACATCGCTGGCCAAGAGGCTCATGGCCAATGCCCTGAGCTTGCTGTATGGTGCTTCCCTTTAGCCGAGGTCAATGCCATCAGCGAGCACACAGAGACCTTGCACCTGAGCCCGCACATCACCACAGAGCTGGTGGGTCACGGCGTGGATCGGAGGCCTGAGGTGTGTGAGCACTCCTGCGAGGAGCTGTCCAACATGATCCGCGAGCTGTCGGGGCTGCATGTCCTGGTGCGCCAGCTGGATGACAATCTGAGGAAAGTGGTGCGTGCTGAGGGCGAGGTGCGGGGGCAGTGGGCAGGGCAGGGTGGGAGGCGCCTCCTCTTCAGGCTTGTGCTCATGACAACTCCTCAATCACTGGTTCTGAAAGAGGTTGCTGACATTTAAAAATCTCCTATTAGTCATGCATGGTGGTGCACACCTATAATCCCACTGCCCTGTCTCAAAAACAAAATGTTGGGAATATGGCTCAGTGTGAAGTCCTGGGTGCACTCTCTTAAAATAAATGCCTGGTTTGGGGGAGCTCATCTTCCCTGTGCAGAGGGAAAGGACTCCTCAGGGCTGCCTGCGATAGGCTAGAGAGCTGTTGTCCCTGCAGAGAGGCGACCCTGTGTGCGTGCAGGAGGCAGCTGTGTGCCTGTCCAGAGGGCACCAGTGCACAAGGAGGGCCACAGGCTGTGCGTGGGCATTATGTTGGGGAGCAGGAGAGGGAGTAGTGGGCTCCCTCAGCCGCCATGCCCTGCAGTGAAGGTTGCATCTGATACCAAAGGAGCAGGAGTGGTGAAACTCTGATGATGCAGACTTATCCAGATCTGACCCTGGAGGCAGGATCTGGCGTGGGGGGCACAGCCTGCAGCCCCTCCAGCTCCGGGGAGGCCAGTATAGGACAGGTCCTTGACCAGGAAGCAAGGACCATTGATGTCTGTGGACGAAGCAGTAAGGGTGGGTGTGTTTCTGTGCATGTGGACTGAATAAGGGGGCCCATGCCACTCATTAGCACCCCCGGGTCCTGTCACCCCCGAATTGTGAGTGGCCACTGGAGAGGGCTATGTCCAGGGAGTGCAAAGCCAAGTGCATGTGTGCAGTACTTTGTCCTCAGGTCTCTACCCTCGGAGACTGCAGGAATCATGACCCTTGGTCCTGCATCTGGGAAAAAGGAAGAACGAGGGAAGTCCCAAGCAGCACGTTGGGTCCTCCCCTCCCCTCCCCCACACCTGCCTGCTGTCCAGGCAAGTGGCCCTGCCTTTGGCATGAGCTGCGCTCAGCGGCAGTGAGAATCCACGTTAGATCTCAGGCCCTGCGAAGAGGCAGGAGGCCCTGTGAGGGTGGAGACTCCGCTTGGCTCTGCGTTCTGTGTGATTCTGCCCGACAGAGGTCCCAAGGGCCCGAGTGTTCATCTACTTCCCGGGCCCCTGCACCTTCACACCACCACCTGCCTGTCTTGCCCCTCAGCTGCGAAGGAATAGGCTCTACACCTAGGAGCACCACAGTCATCTACGCTCAGGGCCTACCTGGACCTAACATTGCTTCTGTTTCCAGTCCAGCGATAACCAGTTTCTCTGGGAGCTCATTGGTGGCCCTCCCAAGACGAAGAACATGTCTGCCTGCTGGCAGGATGGCCGATTCTTTGCAGAAAATGAAACCTGGGTGGTGGACAGTTGTACCACGTGCACCTGCAAGGTGAGACCCCAGCACCCCATGGCAGGCAGGAAGCCTGGGTACAGAGGATGGCTTTCATCACCGCCATACATGGTGGGTCTTACCTGCCATGGGGTGGCACTGCTTGGCACACGTATAGAATGTCAGATGCACAAGAAAAGCTGAGCAGATTGACAAGAAGTGGAAGGATCGGAGGACATTATTTGAGTCAGTCTCTTTGTTTTGCACTAAAAAGCCCCCAAAGCCCAAATGGTGGCACGAGTTGGCCAATGCCATCAGGTGGCTTGAAGCAGCTGGAATTCCTCTGAAGACTCTGCTCTGGTTTGTTTGCATCTGCTCGGTTCTCACGGGGCACTGGTGTTCGACAGAAACTCCTAAGGTGACAGGAGTTGTTGTGGTGTATGCTGGAGGTGGCGCAGTTTCTTCTTCCACCTGAGCCTCCACCCAGGGATTGAGACACCAGGTTGCAGCAGGTGTGCTTTATCCTTTCCCAGCAGAACTTGGGAAGGTTTCCTGTAGTCTTGTTGCTCTCTGGTGTGAAAACAGAACCACCTGTTGGGGTTGGGATGGGGGTTGTGCTCCCCTTATTTTTCATCTATGCTGCAGCTTCTGTGAATCTGTGGGTCAAAAGCATCCTATGCCCTTCTGACACTTTCCCACTGGCCTCGTAGCCAGCATCTACTACTTTTATTT